TTTGTAGTGGCAGCCATCCCTCACTCCCAACCGACCACCTGCAGCAGCAGCACCTTCGGCGTTCAACGGCGACACACACAGATTGATCGCGATTAACGTTAATCGGTGACGGCAATCATTTTTTGCAATTTGCAGCATTTCCTGGCTTTACGATAGGCGAGTTTGCAGCACTTCCAGGTAAAAATTAGTGCAATTTTTTGATCAATTTGGTAAAATTAATGTGTATTGAAGTCTTTTACATATCAATCTTGGTTGCATAGCAATCTAACATTCTTGAGTGAATTCTCATATTTCTCCCCTTTTATTTTTCTGTATTTTTTGCAAATTTTTGTTTTATTTTTCTGTTTCTTCTGAATTTTTTGAATTTTTTTTGTGTTTTTTCTGTATTTTTTAGAATTGTTTTGTATTTTATTTTTATATTTTTTATGTATTTTGTACTGTATTATTTTTTATTTAGATAGTTTTATTTTCTGTATTTTTTTGTTTTTTATTTAATTTTATGCTATTTTTTATTATTTATAAATATTATTTATTTTTAATTTATTTATGACATCACGGGTCAAACCGTTCGACCCGAATGGTTGAACCGTTCGACCCAAATGGTTGAACCATTCGACCCAAATGGTTGAACCATTTAACCGAAAACTAGTCCCCTGACTAGTTCTGTTTCCGGTTCATTTTTAAAAACCATGGAAAATATTGAAAGATGATACACAAATGTCGTGGGGTTTATAGATACAAAGTTCCATGAAAGGTTTGCCACAGAATAGGGATGTCAATTGTACCGGATTTGGTCCAATCCAATCTAGTTAAATATGAATTCATTACGGATGGAGCAGGTCCAAACCACTCCAATTTTGGTCCATTGACACGCGTATTCTTATCTTCTATCAATAGACCCGATATTGGTTCAATTCAACCTAATCCAATATAAATCCATTAGGGGTCGATCAGATCCAATCCAATCCAATAAATCATTTGGACCATTATGTCTGAACTAAATCAATTCAATATATCTTATTTGTCCATTTATCCGTCCAAATATGTTTTGATTTTGACGGTTCCAACCCAAAAATCAGTCCATTGACACACCTACATTAGAGATCTAACCAGATTGACTCTTGCTGTGATTCAGATTGTATCTGAACTGAGCTTATACAGAGTTCCATAAAACGCTTGTTGTGTTTGAGAAGAGTTCTTGTCCCTAAAGGTTATCATAGGAGTGTTTTCAATTTTCCATTGACCCAGCTCGTTGAATCAATTGGTCAAAAACCAGTTGATCCGGGCGGTTCAATTGTTGATCCATTCGACCTTGTCATCGGGTCGTGGGTTGTAGGCTCAATGTATGTACATACTTTTAGAGGCCATAACTTTAAATGCATTCTAATGTCCAATTGGGGTGATCTTTTTTTTTTTTTTTGGGTAACTTTTCGAGATCTATGCATCTCAAGGCCAAGGGGCCAAAGGTGCATTGCCCCGCTATTTTTGCCAAAAAACCCTTTTTTGGGGCTAAAAAACAATTATACATGACCCATGACCTGAAGGAAAAAGTGGGTCCACCTCCGGATAGGTTTTTAAAACATTGATCATAGGCAGTCATATATTTATATTCACTTCCATTAACTAAACATTTGAGAATATCTTAATTTGAACAGATCAACCAAATGGTGATCGATGCCAGGGTTTGTGATTGTAGTCTAGAGTTTTATTATGTGTTCAAGATGGGTATTTGGAAATATATATTACTCCATGTATGGCACAATACGGAAACAAAACACATTGAGAAAAGTTTCAAAGAAAAGAGCAGAAGTCAAACTGTGAGGAAGAAGAATTCTTTACTGAATAATTAAGAGAAAATTCAATATCAAAAACTCTCTTAGCCTTCCCTTAACTACTCTTTATGTAGACAAACACCCTTATAGCTTCTATTCCTAATCTGAAAACATTCCATAATAGAATCCTCCTAAAACTCCTCAAAAAGAAAATCTTAATTGAGCAATCATAATCTAAGAAAACACTCTATAATAGAATCTTACTTAAACCCTTCAAAAGGAAAGTCCTAATTAAATATAAATTCAGAAATTATAATCTAATACTAATTTGGTAATTATGAACTAGAATAGAAATCCTGCGATGACACTAAGGTTCAAAGTATCAACACGTATCGGCCTGTATCGGCTGATACGTATCGTTCTGGAACCTCTCCGATACGCCCCTACAGTGGGTGTATTGGGGGTCTGACCAGTTCAGGGGGTGGAGGAGCCCTAAACCGGCCCCCTAAACCAGTTGCAAAAAAAATAAAAATAAAAAAAAATAAAAAACAATATTGATTTGCCCGATATATGCCTCTACTGGCGTATCGACATTTTGAACCTTGGCTAATATTATCTTGGTAAATTCAAACTAAGATAGAAATTCTGTGCTGATGCTATCTTAGTAAATTCGAATCGGAATGGAAATTCCATGATGGCACTATCTCGATAAATTTGAACTAAGATGGAAATTTCGTGTTGGTACTAGATTGGTAAATTCAAATCAAAATAGAAGTTCTGCACTAGTGCTAACTTAGTAACTAATTACTCGGTTAGGTCAATAATGTCATTCAAGCTTTTTATATGTCTTGGAGTGGTCCCAACTTACATAGAACTTATTGGCCTTCTCTTATACTACATCATTGTAGCATTATAATATAACATTCTGGTCCAACCCAAATGATATGATTTAGGGTTATTAGATATGGCCAAGATATTTGTTGGAATTATTGGACTGATTTAAGGTCCAATACATGGTGGCTGAATACGATGCTCATGGACCTAAGGAGTGATCAGGTTGCCAATCCAGAGGCTTTCTTAGTTCCTTTTGTAATCGGTGTTCTGAACACACTTGCGTATCTTTGTAGGTCAATAACAAAGGCAAATATGAGTACAGGTCTGCCAGTCCGGTTGTACAATGAAGAGTCGTCATACAACTTGTTTTGAGACTGAAAAAAAAAGCGAGCGTTGTGTTCATTTCTTCATTCTCTATTCATCATATAGCTAGGTTTCAGTTTAGAAAAGGGCATTTTTCAGATTAAAGAATTGAAAGTTTGGACTACTGTTATCATCATATTCATAGAGAATTTTGATTAAGTTAGGATTAAGGGAAAGTATAAAACAAGAATATTGAACTAATGGTCTATTTATATAGTTCGTGAATCTTGAGCACCCTATCCTAAAACCCAGTCCAATTTAAGGCAAGTTCAGGCATAGACTGATCTAAATCCCAAAATAACTCAGATTGAGTTATGTTGTATCTGTAAGGAGAGTAGACAAGGGCAGGGGTTCCAAAATTTTTTAAAAATGGCTTATGATAAAGAAGTAAACTGTAAATGTTCCTTTTACTTACTTACATAATAAACAGTGTCTGGCTGGGCACCTATGAGCTCATTACTCAACCTAAGACCAACCTAATATAGAATTAAGCTTAAGTTTACTAGCCTAAGAAGCCTAGTTCATAGCCGAAAAAAAACCCAGTTCAACCTGAGAAAAAGCTAGTAGAGTTGAGTTGGCCCACCTAAGTTGCATTTTCCACCAATTCGAAACTCTGCTATTTGATGAGTTGTCCACATTGGCCACTGGAGAAATAGTTCAGACAGTCCAGTTAGTTCCTCAAATAATTGATCTAGTTACAACCCTTTAATTTCTAGTTAAAAGATGTGTTTGTTGGTACTACTGTTACTATTCCATGCATGTAAGGTCTTTTCTCTGATCAATATGTTTTGTCACCAACTTGCCCTAGCCCGACTATTGCCCACTCATGCCTGAACCTGGAAGAGTTGTGCTTGGATTTAGCTTGAACGACTTCACCTCAGGTGGCGACCATATTATAATTAATCAAATTAAATTCTTGTATGGTTTCTCATCTCATTTCAGTTGTTTAAAAAGTGACAGTAGGATGAGGAGTTGTTTTGGCGAATCATATAAGTGCAATAGCTGGTCGTTCTTTGTTGACTTTAAGGATCCTTACATATCTATGTGATCGGTTTGTTGATGATCTTTTGATTTTTGGCAAATTAATGCTCAATGGCTGAAATTTATATCTTTCATGAACAACTCAACCCTTTCTAGCGAAGGGAAAGAAATCAATTATCACAAGTTTTCAATCTACTTTGTGCTAATTAACATTCTTTGTCATAGAGGAGTTTCCTAAGATATATACCCATTTAGTCTGCCATTAATCACCATGCAAAAATTAGTTCTCAAAGAAATCCTCTGCTTTCGTCATTTATTGTTAATTTCAAATATATTGGAGAGAGAGAGAGTTTTTTTTATTTACCATAAAAAAATACTTAATAACTTATTTTATTGCCTTAAAAAAAAAAAAAAAACCGCACGGATGATGAACTGCACATCCAAGTCATCGTTCAATCTATGCCATGAGCATGGTGATTGACGAATTTATTCCAAAGTTGCACAGTAGAGCAAACATCTAAATACACCCAACAGTCATTAAACGAGAGCACGGAGAGGAGAGAGAAAGAGCTAGAGAGGGAGAGATGATTGATTCAAGATTTGTTAATTAGTCCATACTTCTAGGATGTTTCCAATTGCTTCAAGGTATATGCCCACTTGTCACGGGGCTAGTCGTTGGGGCCCCGTGTGGCACTCGAATACGACAGGTAAGCCTAAGTGACAAGCAACATCACAAGAAAATGCAATAAAGATGGTGCACAAATTAGACAAAAGGGAACTTGTATTGCATTAATGGACGACAAGCTTAAGAATACAGATCAATGTCAAAGGGATCTCATGCTTAACCTTTACATGCTCTTGATTCACTCGACTACCTACCTCCCTTCAAAGACTACGTTTAGATTTTGGGGGAATGACATAAAGATACATCAAAAGAATAAAAAATCATACTAGATAATTACAAGAATGCCATTGACAATCCCCCATACAAAATACATACATAACCCACCCATGACACACACTTGGATACTGGAGTGGCGGCTGTAGGCATTATGGATGACACTTGATGGCGTGGTAAAGTGACACACCTCCACCTCCACCTCCACCTCCTTTGCCATAGGAACCTCCACCTGAGGCTCCCCCTGCACCATAACCTGATCCATTGCCACTCCCTGAACCATATCCAGATCCGCTCCCACTTCCATTGCCTCCACCCCCACCTCCGCTTCCACCTCCACCTCCACCACCTCTCCCATATGAACCACCACCTGGGGATCCCCCTGAACCATAACCTGACCCACTGCCACTCTCAGAACCATACCCACTACCACTCCTTGAGCCTTGACCTCCTCTACCACCTCCGCCATGGCCACCCCCACCACCTCCTCCAAGGCCAATTCCTATACCAACTCCCACTCCTATTCCACCACCATGGCCATAGCCACTTCCACCACCAGAGCCATATCCAAACCCAATGCCTTCACCACCACCACCCATACCTCCACTGCCGTAGTACAGAGTAAGAAAAGCACCAAAAATTGAGTCCAATTGGTCGGCAGCTGAGTTTTCCCTAGTCCACTCTGTTGACTGAGAGGTCGTTGTGAATAGCAACTTAAGGTCTTCCGGTCCGATTGATCATATAGATTTAAGTATAGATTTAAGTCAAGTGAGAATGGCTGAGTTTTCACATGGTTAATCCACTCACTCAAATAATCCAGTGTTCACTAAAACCGGAATAAGGGACAAGTACTGATCGGCCACTTGATCAACTTCTCAAAATAGTAGCAAAATTTTCATCCAGAGTCAAGGAGTGGACCTTAAATTAATCTCATTATTATAAACAAGCTAAAGTTAGAAGCGATATCTAGAGAAAAAGATAGGGCCTTATCAAATATAATAAGTGGAGCCTGTACTTAGCTCAAATTCTTAATAGTCTTGTGTAGGGGTGGATTCGAGTCAAGTCGAGCCGAATAGAACCAGGCTCGAGTTTGACTCGAGACTGTTCTATAAGGCTCGAACTCGATTATTAGAAAAAATATTTTATAAAAATGAAAAATTATAGATACAAATATTTTTTATTTGATATTTAAAAAATTAAGAATTATAATAATTAATAATTATAATATTTTTATTATATATATATATATATATATATTCGAGCCGGCTCGTGACCCTCACGAGCTGAGTTCTAGTAGGATCAAGCTCGGCTCGTTTAATAATCGAGCTAGTGAATTGGGCCTGAGCTCGGTTGAAACAGAGCCGAGCCGAGCTTTTCACTAGCTACTCGGTTGAAACTGAGCTCGGCTCGTTGCCATCCCTAGTCTTGTGAATATGTTGTCCGTGGCCAGGCAGGTTGATCAATCCAGCCTATCTATTTTCTAATTAACTTGACCTTAGAACATTCAGTTTCCTTCTATGACATTTACATCTCCACTCCGTATCTTCTACTCAGAATCTTCCCACACTCCTATGACTAGGGGTTAACCGAACCGTGGGTTTTTTTTTTTTTTAAACCGAACTTATTTGATTGATTTTTTAAAAATCTGAATCGAAACTGAACTGATGTAACTGGTTAACCAGTCCACCGGTTAACCGCGGCTCGGTTTTTTGATTTTTTACACTCAAAAATAAGAAAAAAAAGGGAAAAAATACCTAAACAAGCATGACAAAGGGGTGAGCTAGCGAGGGCAAAGTGGTGGTCGATGATTTGTAAGTGTCGGACTGGTTGGTGGTTGTTGTCGCCTAAAGTGAAAGCCTAAGAGGTGGCGGAGCTGCGAAGATGAGAGATGAGAGAGACAGAGACAGAGCCTAGGAGGTGGCGGTCCTAGCAGAGTCGAGACGGCGACCGGCGTTGTTGCATTGTTGATGCATGCTTGTCTGCTTGATGGTTGGCGCAGTAGAGAAGAAGATGATAGGAAACAGAGAGTAAGAGAGAGAAAGAGACAGGGAACTGGAGAAGCACTGAAGCAAGGAAAACTGGCCATTAGGTGAGAGGCTGTTGGTTGGAGGACGACCGATGCCAGAGGAAAAATTGGGGATTGGGTCCGGTTATAAGTTTGCAAAACCTTAAGGAGATCAACTTTGATCCTGATTGACCTGGATTTATCTGAGGAAACAATACTATTGTAGCAAAACACATAACACCCCAACAGTGGGTATGGTTTGTTTCGCCAATGATTGGAACTACAATTCCAAGGGTGCTTGATTCAAAAAAGAGGGTATGATTTCCTCATGATCATGCCCATGATTAGTGACTGGCATCTTTCTTCTTTTTCCTAGTTTCTATTCAATTTATCCAATCGTAAAGCCCTTGTTTGTTTCTCTGAATTCGTATTAATTTATGATCATCTCTGGTCTGTAAGGATATGATTGCCCACAACAACAGTGAAGGAGAATTTTCTTCTCCTGCAATGTTTAAACAAGTGTATGATAAATAACTTCACTCCAAATTTACACCTTGAAAATTTAAAAACTCATACCTTTGTCACTTCTATTTGTTGGCTTTCTTTCCTAGCTTTTAGCTCTACATGTGAATTACATGGTATTCCTGTTTGGTTTGTTTGGAGGTTGAATGTGCACCTTCTAATTAGATGCTCTCAATTACCTGCACTGAATATTTGAGAATGGATTGTGTTTACTTTAATCATTTTTCCATGCAAATACAGATATCACCCTTTCAAACAGGTTGATCTCTGTAGTGTAAACCTAAACTATCAGGGCAAAATCTGTAAAACAGCTATTGCAATGTCTCTTTTGTGTTGAGGCGACAATAAGCTCCAATTGTGATCAATGTTGGGTTATATTTCTATGCAGGTAAAGAAGGAAAGAGCAGAAAGGGAGGCATTGGGAGCATTACCTCTTTACCAATGCACCATTCCCTGATTTTATTGTTGCATCAGTCCTGGATCTTGCTCATCATGTTTTCTGATAGATTCTTTTGAGTGGTGGACCATGATAACTGAGATGTTTGCTTTCTATTCGTCTCAGGAAATGGTATTGTATTTTGTTGACGAATTTCTTTTGGCATCGTTGGGTATGATTTATTCATCATTTTTGCCATATCTAAGCATGCCGTTAACTTGCTAACAAGTAATAATTCCTATCCAAAACTGGATGAATTTCTGTTGTTGAATTAACTTGAGTAGTTGTATTTATTGCACCATCAGAAACTCCCTCTACTTCTTCTACTTGATTGGGATGCAGTAACTATATCTCAGAACCGGTTTGACAGAGAGAGGGCAGAAGGGGAAATATTGTCTTCTTCACGGGAAAGTGGGGTTGCAACTATTTTCTTATTTATGTTCAGTAGATAAAAAACATTGACAGGCTTTCCAAAAGTTACTAGTATAATTCTTCATTCACGAACGATAATGTATCAATAACACATCTTACAAACATATAACTTTATTTCATTGAAAAAAAGATGATCAAATACTTGTGCAAAGTGGCAATGAAAAGACAATATGAAACAGGAGTAAGCGGATATGAAACAGGTGCAAATTAAAAATCTAGAAAGACAAAATTTTTGAACTTTCGTTTTCTTTCTACCGAAAACACCATATTTGTTTCATTAATCAAATATGAAACAGGAGTTCTTTTCATACTTACAGACAGCTCGGTGTAGTGCTGTTTGGAGTTGCAGTGGTGAGTGATGAAGCAAGACGCGGTGGTTGGAGTTGAAGCAGCAAACAGTGAAGCAGTGGTAGAGGCAGTACTCTGTAACAGATTACAGTGCTGGTCGGAGTTGTTTCATTAATCAAATATGAAACATGGGTTCTTTTCATACTTATAGATAGTTCGGTGCAGTGCTGGTTGGAGTTGCAACGGTGAGTGTTGAAGCAAGACGCGGTGGTCGGAGTTGCAGCAGCAAATGGTGAAGCAGTGGTAGCGGCAGTGCTCTGTGACAGATTGCAATGCTGGTCGGGGTTGTATCATTAATCAAATATGAAACAGGGGTTCTTTTTATACTTACAAACAGTTCGGTGCAGTTCTGGTTGGAGTTGCAACGGTGAGTGTTGAAGCAAGATGTGGTGGTCGGAGTTGCAGCGGCAAACGGTGAAGCAATGGTAGCGGCAGTGCTCTGTGAGAGATTGCAATGCTGGTCGGAGTTCTTTCATTAATCAAATATGAAACGAGTTCTCTTTATACTTACAGACAATTCGGTGTAGTGCTAGTCGGAGTTGCAATGATGAGTGTTGAAGCAAGATGCGATGGTTGGAATTGCAGCGGCAAACGGTGAAGCAATGGTAGCGGCGGTGCTCTGTGATAGATTGCAACGGTAAAAATAAAGTTGGATTATTGTAAGGTAAATATTAGATGGGAAGTATGGGATAACCCCTCATTCCATACAACACGGTAGCGTGGTCAAATCCACGAAATAAAGGCGTACACAATAAATTGGCCCGTGATGTGGATCAATCGACGAGATAGCATGGATTAGTCCACGTCACCAACCAACTGAATTCAAAGTTCTGGCCTCTTAGGTTTATTTTCTTAGTTGGGGTAGTGGTGGAGAAGCCAATTGAGGTTCGGGCCTTAAAGTTAGGTTTGGGGTTCCATTTGACAAATGATTTTAAGTTAAAACTTGCAAAGGAGTATCCAATGGAAAGTTGGTTGTGTTAGGTGAGAAGAATAAACAGGAATTGACGTGTGGAGGTCTCAATGATATCAGGTGCGATAAAAGGACTACAATGTGCTTAATTAAGTTCAATGAATTGACGTGTGGAGGTCTCTTCGGCCTCAACGAAGAAAAACTGGGTCCCTTTTCAACACATGAAAGTTTTCTTTATCTTCCATTTGAAATGAGAAAAAAACAGAGTGGGGTTTATTAGGTTATGCACGCTTGAGGCTGGACCATGGATTCGTCTATGCTAAGACAGTGAGGATCTGAGTTGTGAATTTTGTCACGTGTTAGATTTGACAAATAATACTTAAAAATTGATTTAAACAAAGGAAGAATTTATGATGAATATGTGATTAATGATTTAGATGAATACCATTTGGTTGGAAGAGATTTAACCAATCAAAGCATTACAAGAATTTTGATGTTTGGTAATCTCTTTTATGATACTAGTTGATTGATTATAAGGGTTGTCTAGTTTGCAGTAGGAATTAAAATCAAAATCCTTCAAAATTAAAATTGAAATGATCTATTTCTGTAGTCTTTGTTCGGTTCAAATAAGAATAAAAATAGGAATTATAACCAATAGAAATAAAATTTCATTCACGAGGGACAGGGAATGGCTGTTCCCTCAAATGAGAATGACATTTCTAAAAAAATGAGAATGAGATTTTAATTTCATCCATTAAAACAATTGGATTCAGAATAGCCCATTCAGATTCGGATTCCAAACCACTATTACATGTTCAAAACCCATCAAACTGTTGATGCTGATTTTGACAAATTGTTCATGGGTTTGGCTTTGAGGAACAATTGGCGTCAGTAGATGATGTATTTGCAGAAATAACATCATCTTGTTGAATAAGAATCGTTAAATAATCAAGACAAGTGCTGGTATGACCCCACGTGTTCTTGTACACAAATTAAACCCATACTTCATTAGGCTCAGATAATATTGCCCAAGACATAAGACATGGTATGGTTTGGTTCAACATCATGGGCTTGGGCTCTTGGACCAATTGGCCCAAGCCTAATGAAGAAGGTGGCCACTTGAAAATGTCTTTGTTAAGTAATTCATAAGGCTGTGTTTGATTGCAATGCAAATAAATTTGTATTTATGCAAAAACATGGCAGTGCAAATGATTTGAGTGTAAATTCTCACCCATTTTTGTTTCAAACTTTAGCTTGTTTTGTTTGATTGCAGTACAAATGAAGTAAATTAAGACATGAAACAAAATAAAGTAAAACCCAGAACAAAATTAAACGAGAATTTAGATTTTCTTCATTTATACTCCTATACATTTATACTAGTGTAAATAAAATTGCACTGCAACCAAACACTGCCTAAACGGTGGAGGGTAATGCACTGCGAGCTCCTGTTATGCTGCAATGGAGTACCCACTGGGGGAGGGGGGTTGAAATGATTGAAAATGAAGAGATTTGATGGTGGCCGAACCCTTTGATAACTGTGATCCATTATGTGCCAATAGCATTCTGGTTTTTGATGTATGGTTCTTTTTCTTTTTCTTGTTGATAACAATAGCATTCTAAAGGTTGATATTAGTAATGTTTCACTGACATCTAATGAGATTACTGTAACTAAATTCGATTATGACAAGTGAGCCGTGTTAGCACTTGATAGAAAAGTAGTAAGGAATGTCGGTGTTTACTATACGGTTTAGACCATCAGACCAAATTGAAATTCACAGTTTGGTTTGGTCTGGACATAAAAACAGTTTGATTCGGTTTTGGATTCTTTGAAAGTTATATAAAATAAACTTTCGAAACCATATATTTGGTGATTAATGGAATTGACTATGGGTGTTCCTTATATCGTCTAAGTCACCAAACCAAACTGAACCGAACCAAACTGAAATTAATTGGCAGTCTGATCTGGTCTGGCCTTAAAAATGGTTTGTTTTGGTTTATAAATTTCTCATACCACAATTTTTTTTTTTTTTGTTCGGTTTGACTAATTGAATTTCCGAAACAAGACCAAACCATAAACCGGTAAATTGAAGTATTAACAATAGACCCATCACATACACACAATATAAGTATTCATTTAACATTTAAAAATATTACATAACTCTTAATTATATAAGTATTTTATACATTGTTGTTGTTTATTTCAATTTTTATCATGTAATTTCATGCGCAATGTGACTTGTTTATGTTACAATGTAAATGTAATTTATATGACTTTTAATAGGTGGCATTTATCAACAGTCAATCTGATATTTGAAGTTATTTGTTATTTATGCAGGAGTATATATTATTTGGGCATTCAAATTGGGTTAAACCCAATAGAATGGCCCAAACCATATTAGAAACTGGATAGTTTGGTCTGAAGTTTTCTTAACTCTAATTTTTTTCTTTGGTCTGATATTTTTCCTAAATTGAACAAAACCAGACCACGAACACCCCAAGGTATAATGCCACCTAGACTTAGGCAACACTAACAATATTGGCCATGCTATAGAAGAAAAGAAGCTTTATCCATAGATAGTTCTCATATGTGGTCAGTGATGCCCGATTTTCTTTCTTCTATGCAGTAGAAAGTTGAACGAAACAGCCTAAGGGCTTTATTTCCAAAAACAAAAAAAAACAAAAAATTAAACAAAGGACCTTTATTCATTCATAGAGTTGAACTTGAAGTTGAACTAGAACCCATAACATAAACAATGATATCAAATATGCAGAGTAATAAAACTCAACTCTTCATTCATAGAGTCACAATAGTAACCTTTCTTCTGCTTTTATTAAAGTGAATTACAACTTAATACGCTTATTGAAGTGTTACATAAGCGCGCACATAATATGCTTATTGCTTAGACATAATGGACCTTTATTCATTCCACGCAGGCAATACCCAATTACACACAACACGCAAGAGAAAGAGGGTGGTTTTGTGACCATGTGAATGTGGGACGTGAATGTCTATGGTCTATGGCCAACTCCACCACCGTATCCGGATCCAGAACCTGAACCATAGCCAGAGCCAGAGCCAGAGCCACTGCCTGAACCACCACCACCACCACGTCCACCTCCACCTCCTCCACCACTGGCATAGCCTCCACCATTGGCACCTCCTGCTCCATATCCTGAGCCACTACCAGAACCGTATCCGGAACCACTTCCATTTCCATTACCAGATCCTCCTCCACCTCCGCCTCCACTTCCACCTCCACCACCTCCACCACTTGCATATGAACCTCTACCTACGGCTTCTCCAGCACCATACCCAGAACCACTTCCACCTCCGGAACCATAACCACTGCCATTCCCAGACCCTCCACCACCTCCACCTCCGCCTCCGCCTCCACCTCCGCCATTTGCATATCCTTTCCCTTTTGCCCCACCATAACCAATGCCCTCCCCTGAACCATATCCCTCTCCGTAACCTGAGCCATATCCGGACCCAGTTCCTGTACCTCCACCACCACCACCTCCTTCACCACTACCTCCCCCTCCTCCTCCACCAGCGGCAAGCAAGGACCTAGCAGCGGAGGAGAGTCCAACACAAAGTAAAACCAAGAATGCAACAGAAACCAACTTCGAGTTCACCATTTTCTGCTCAATCAATCAATGAATTAATGTTTGATCGATTTGAGAAAGTAGTGTGATAAGCCCCATGCAAACATTACGTATTTATAGCGATCCTAGTAGAGTTAACGCGGGCTATTGCACATAGAC